CACCAGCCTTCCCTCCCCCACTTCCCAGAACCCATACATGGTATAAATCTTTAACAAAAACAGTCTAAAATATATTGGAAAAAAGAGTAAAAAATTGATAACTTCTTTACATTGAGCTTAGCTCCTCCTTGCTAAACTAACTTTAAACAATTTATATCAGTCCTGATGTTAATCATAAGCTATCTGGAATTTCTTAAAAAATGAAATCTAATTCAAGTACAAACCAAACTAAATTTAAAAATTCCACCAGTGCTTGGGGCAATGTAGCGCAACCATGCATTACAAATCTTATTAACTAAGAAAATATCTACAAGTAGATATTTAAAAAATGCAACATGGGTATTTATCAAATACAGCTGAGATCTCACCCCATCCCACCCACAAATCTTGATGCAATCAGTAATACCCCTTTTCAGATTGGTCACCAACATACTTCTGGGTTGATTTCAGTGGTTTATTTTTATGTTTTCTCTGTCTTGCACCTGTCCCTGTTAGTAGATCAAGGCAGCCTAAACCCGTCCCCCAGGTGACACATGCCAACTGGAAGTGCTAAAAGGGCTCTCCTATACCTCAAAGAAAAGCTCTGATTGGCCTAAGCAGCCTAATAGGACTTGAAATCATCCACACAGAAAAGCAGGTACCTGCACAGTTTGATCCACTTCTGTCCAAGTATGTTAGTCTCCTGCATTTAGATAGTGCCTAGCTTTGTAAGCAAAGGTTCCTCTGTTTTACATCTGTCAGTTATTTTCTTTTTGGAAATCCAGTATTTGCTTGAGGTTCTGGGCAACCTCTGGATAGAGGCTGGAGAATATAGTTTGTGGATATAGCTAGATTGCAGTACCAGTCCGCTCTTCTATGATATTGCGACTTTTCTGGTTTGTCTTGCATTGTTCTTTTTAAAATCTTTAAATAACAACGTCCACCTAACAGTTGGCCATGCTGCAAACTGGTCTTTAGAGTTATGGCAAGAAACAATGTGCATCTTTGTTATGTTACCAACCTGTTTTTGAACACATATTTAAGATGCCACAAAACAGACACCTAAAAATTCTGCCAAGCTTTTCTTACCCTCTCCGGTCCTTGCATTGCACAAATCAGAATGAACTGCTGATATCTTGGATGATTGTTTCTTGCAGGCAATGCCTCTGTCCTGAACCAGACTCTGTTCTCTAATCTCAGCAGTTTTGAACAGGTAACAAATAAAATTATTTTCATTAACTAAAACGACTGGATAGGGGAAACCTTTGCTTTTATCTTTAAAACTGCACATAGGAATGCAAGATGAAGCAAAAACATATATTGTATGTATTGCAAAAGGCCAGGCAAACACTAGATGAAAGCAAAGAAATACAGTGTGCAAGACATAGTTACTATCTTAGAAAAGAATGCAAACTGAGATATAGGAAGGGAGTAGCATTTTGTGATTAGCATGTTTTTGTTCATATGGGATTCTGTACTTCTTGGAGTACTGCAGTCTTTTTGCACTTGATAACTGGGATGTGTTGCCCTTTTGGTTGTTGTTGTTGTCGTTGTTTTGCTGCTGAGGACTTCTCCACTATTACTGCTGCTGATTCTATATCTTTTGAGGAAGTCACAGCCACATGCATATCAGAAGACTATGTACCAGAAGCCAAAGAGCACACAGAGATTTTTTTAAAAACAGTAGGTTGTTAAAAGTGAAATTCCAGATGGCCAATGAGGACAGGTTCTCATGCTATGCTGAGAAGAGATTTTTTTAAAAACAGTAGGTTGTTAAAAGTGAAATTCCAGATGGCCAATGAGGACAGGTTCTCATGCTATGCTGAGAAGAGATTTTTTTAAAAACAGTAGGTTGTTAAAAGTGAAATTCCAGATGGCCAATGAGGACAGGTTCTCATGCTATGCTGAGACTATCATGCAGAAGCTGAGAAAGAAAGACTCAGGGTTAACCTGCAGTTGCAACCTGAAGCTCTCTTTTTTACTAAGCTCTACTTCCTGCACTGAAGAAGTAGAGTTTGTGTCCTGGTGATTCCTCCGCCTTTTTGTGCTTTCCACCCAGTTTACCCAGGAGTGAGAGAGAATCTGAGAATTAGATTGTACTGGGTGCTGAATTCTTCTTGAAGAAAACTATAGGGAAGGAAGGACATGTAGGCTGCTGCCCCATTTCCTCCTTGGGCTCATCTTCTGACAGTTATATTAGGCGTATCTACTGGCAGATTCAGAAAATGGTTCCTTGTGGTTTGTATGTGAAAACCATAAGCACATGATAAACCCATTAAAAAACAGTCTTAAAATGACTGGTTTTCACACTTACAACTTTGCAGCACCTCCTTGGTCACATGGTCAAAATTCGAATGCTTGGCAACTGGCATATATTTATGATGGTTGCAGTGTCCTGGGATCATGTGATCACTTTTTGCAACCTTTAGACAAGCAAAACCAACGGGGAAGCCACACTCACTTAACAATTTTGCTACTAACTCAACAACTGCAGTGATTCATTTAACAACGATGGCAAGAAAAATTGTAACGTGGGCAAAACTCAATAACTGTTTTGCTTAGCACCAGAAATTTGGGGCTCAGTTGTGTTCATAAGTCAAAGACTTCCTGTAATATAATATTGTATATTATGTAGGTTAGGCAGATATGCAGTTTGTTTGCTTATTTGTTTGTTTACTTGCTTAAGGGAGAACATTTTTTTAAAAATGAGGCTAGATTAAAAACAGAGAAAGCAATGATCCAATACATAACTCAAATGCCTAAAAAATGTAAATCAGTTACGGCACAGGACAAAATACCAACCACATTCCCACCAACAAATTGAGATAGCAGCATATTAATCAGTACACAATCAATGATCCCTCTTTTAGTTTAGCTAATAATATAATTTTCTCTCATATTCAGCCGCAACTTGACCCAGTCTGGAGTCTTGTAGCCTGGTTGGATTACAGTTTCCTGATTCCCAGCTTGCTTCGGCCATTGGAAAAACAGTCTAAATATTTTCTTAAGAGTTGTGTGACTTGGACAAACAGGGATCTTTTTCTGAGGCACAATCCTTTCTTTTTCACAGCAATCGGATGTGGAATCGGGGAACTGGTCCCTCCTGACCAAGGATCAGTGTATGCAACTAGGGGGCCATCTAGTGGGCAACAGTTGCAACTACGTGCCTGACATCACTTTCATGTCCTTCATTCTGTTTCTGGGAACGTTGTTCTGTGCTATGGTCCTGAAAAAATTTAAATCAAGTCGCTATTTTCCCACTGGTGTAAGTAGCTATCTATCCTATCCTATCCTTTACATGTTGATTGAATTTGTGAAATAAATAAATATTTCCTTCTTGTGAGTAAGCTTGTGTACGTACTCCGTCTTCCTGTAACTGCTACCCCGCAACACATTCAAGTAGTAACCCAATTATCCTACACTATGATGGGAGCTACAGTTAGACATAATGGAAAACACCAGGACAGTGATGAATAGTATTTACTATGCATTTACCTGCATAGTAAAAAAGTAGAAACTTGCAGGAAATGGGGACAGGTAGAGAATGGACAAAGAGGAAAAGATCATGGGTATGCCTCCTTATTTACATTCCCTCTGTCTTTATTTCTCAAATCCCCCTTCCCATTTCATCAGTTTTCATCTCTACTTTGATTTTCCATTCTTACCTACCTTGGTTCTCTCTTTGGGGAGAAAGAGAGTACAGAACAGTAAAGAAAAAAGTTGTATGTTCTGTACTAACCTATGGATTGGAAAGTTTATGTGATGAATAGCTGCTGATTGCTGAGAAGTGTGCTCAATTGCCTATTGTGAGTGACTATGATTGTCTCCTACTGGGCAAGCAGGGGTTTCTTCAGGGACTATAGAAGATACACAAGGCAAACAATTCCCAGGAGCAAGCTCATTAACCTGGCAAGTGGTGGTCTGGCAGATATTTGGGAGTACAGATTGGATCTTAGTTAATGTTATTTCCAGGAGCATATAGATTTAAAATGGACTCGGAGCTCTGTTTTTAAACTTTCATACAAATAAGAATCTCAGACTCAAAACCAACTTTATCATCTTCTTCTAGTATGCATCTATTCATCACTCATTGAAAAGGGAGAAACAAAATAGTAGTAATCACAACGGCTAAGCATCAGATGTGACATGCATGCCATCACCTTAGAATGCAGTTTCCTATCAGGAGTGGGTTTCAACTGGTTCGCGGTGGTCCCCGCGAACTGGTTGGTCGGCGAACCCGGAAGTAAGTAATTTCCGGGAACNAGTGTTACTCAACCTTGGCAACTTGAAGAGATGTGGACTTCAACTCCCAGAATTCCCCAGCCATCCGTGTTGGCAGTGGAATTCTGGGAGTTGAAATCCATACATCTTCAATTTGCCATGTTTGAGAAACACTGTTTTAAAATATCTGGTTGCTTTTAATGCTTCTATCAGATTTTTAATTCAAACCTGAATTTTAATTTTGATGTAATTATTAATGTCTCAAAATGCTGTAATTATTTGTTTGATTGTTCATACACATGCTTATATACTGCATATTTCAAAGGATCCAAAGCACTTTACTGTATAACAAAAGAAAGAAATACAAATGTGTAACCAACAACCCCGAACAAATACAAATAATAATCATAATAAACCTCATCCCTAAGGCAGCCCTTTCATGCCTGATACAAAGCAATCCTAAATAGTTTTCTAAAAGTATTTTAGAAATATTTTTCCTCTAAAGAGAATTGTGTAACTCAGGAGACAAGATGCCCTCAAGAAGGGCTAGATCAAGACATAGTAAAATAAAGGTAAGGTAAAGGAGTTCCTGGAGATTTTACTCTGCTAATCATTGCCAACTATAGGGGGCAGTGCTCATCTTCAAGGCCACTGTACCAAGACTATCTGAAGTGGTCTGTGGTCATGTGGCCAGCATGATGTCATAGAGCGCTGTTATCTTCCCAACTTAATGATACCTATTTATTTGCATTTGCCTGTTTTTGAAATGGTATGTTGGCAGAAGTTAGGGCGAGGATGGGAGTTTCATGGCGTTCATGTCTCCAGTCAGTTTCCAGCCAACCAGCCCAGCGTCTTAACCACTGAGCCACCATGCAATCCTTATATCAATAGCCACTTCAGAATGGAGCATACAATCATCTTGTACAAGGGAGAACCCAGCTCTTTCTCTCAAAAAAGAGATGATCTACCCGTATGATAACCCAGATAAGTTATTATTTTACTCACAGGTGGCAGAGTTCATGCCATTAAGAGACTGACTGCATTCTTGGCCTTCACAAATTTAAAAAAAATGCTAGATAGTCTAGGACAGTGGTTCCCAAAGTGGGTGGTGGGATGACTTAGGGGGGNGGGGGGGGGGGGGAACGTATCTTCAGTAAGACTTAATCCCAGGATTGTTGTTTTAGTCAATAAAGCCTTTGCAAACTTTTTCTGAAGCCATTCAATGTTTGTCACATGCAGTATACAGTATATTCATGTAATGATTTGTAGAAACCAAGAAATATGTCCCACGTTGGGGCTTTTTAGTATAAAATATTTTAGTCCTGCATAATTTTTGAAACTCTAGTAGTTACTTGAGATGAATTCTAAATTGTCATATTTGTTTTGTGGATTTTATGTCTTTTTCATTTTTGAAATAAAAATTTGCAAATTTGCAAATGACTCCAAGCTGTGGCAAATAGCCAACACTTTAGAAGGAAGATAAACTCAAGATCCAGAAGGATCTTGACAAACTTCACACTGGACCCTGTGCAACAAAATGCAGTTCAGTGGTGAGAAAAGTAAGGTCTTATGCTTAGGGAAGAAAAACCAAATGCACAGATATAGGATAGGTAGTACTTGTTCAACAGGACTAACTATGACAGAGATCTAGATGTCCCAGTGCAGTGATGGCTAACCTTTTTGTCAAGGGCGGGGGGGGTCGCACACACACATGGCCTCACCCATAATGCAATGCCCTCCCCCACGCATGTGCACACAACCCCCACCATTCATGCATGCAACCCACCCACCCCTGCATGCATGCAGGCCTCACTGAAGACTCTGGACTTCCAGGAGGCATGTTGGGCCATTTTTTGCCCTCTACAGGCTTCAGGAAAGCCTCCTGAAGCCTCCTAAGGGGGAAAAAACAGCCCAATGGGCAACCTGGAAGTTTGTTCCCGAACTTCTGGTGGGTCCTGTTGGGCTGTTTTTCGCCCTACCCAGGCTTCAGGGAAGCCTCCTGAAGCCTGGGGAGGGCAAAAAATGGGCCAACATGCAAACCGGAAGTTTGGGAACAAACTTCTGGGTTGCCAGTTGGGCTGTTTTTCTCCCTCTGAAGGGCAAAAAAAAAAAAAATGCCCAATGCACAAACCGGAAGTCCACTCCCAAACTTCCAGTTTGCACATTGTCGGGATTTTCACCCTCCGGAAGCTTCAGGAGGCTTCCCTGAAGCCTCCGGAGGGTGAAAAATGGCTGAAAATCAAGGCCAAAAACCAGCTTGCCAGCATGCCCAGGTGCACTGGAGCTGACAGGGCAACGCCTCGCGTGACCTTAGAAATGGCTCTGCATGCCACCTGTGGCACATGTGCCATAGGTTCGCCATCACGGTTCTAGTGGATAATTAGTATGAGCCGCCAGTGAGCTGCAGCTGCCAATAAAACAACAACAATGAAGTACTAGACTTCAGCAACAGAGGAATAGTGTCAAGATCACATGAAGAACAAGCACCACTTTACACTGCACTGGTAAGATCACACTTGGAATACTGTGTCCAGTTGTGGTCACTATGCTACAAAAAAGATGTGGAGACTTTAGAAAGAGTGCATAGAAGAGCAACAAAAATGGCAAAGGGTCTGAAGCACACAATAAAGGGTTATGGAAGCTAGGTATGTCTCTAGTTCAGTGGTTCCCAAACTTGGCAACTTTAAGACTTGTGGACTTCAACTCCCAGAATTCTCCAGCCAGCTCTGCTTGCTGGAGAATTCTGGGAGTTGAAGTCCACAAGTCTTAAAGTTGCCAAGTTTGGGAACCACTGGTCTAGTTTAACAACAATAAAAAAGAACCACAGTGATTTGATAGCAGTTTTCTAATATTTGAGGGGCTGCCACACAGAAGAGGGGGTCAGCCTCTTTTCCAAAGCACCTGTGGGCAGGAAAAGAAGTAATGGATGGAAACTGATCAAGGAAAGATCCAACCTAGAATTAAATAGACATTTCCTGTCGGTGAGAAGAATAGTGACTTGTCTCCAGAAGTTGTGGGTGCTCCATCACTGGAGCTTTTTTAAGAAATTGGACATCCATTTATCCAGATTAGTACAGGGGGTTGAACTAGATGATATCCAAGGTCCTTCTAATTGTCTTATTCTATTCTGTTATTTCACTTCTTAGGTAAGGAAGCTAGTGGGCGATTTCTCCATTATTCTGACAATCCTCATCTTCTGTGGAATTGATGCTGCTCTTGGATTAGAGACACCAAAGCTTCTTGTTCCAGAAACATTCCAGGTAAGATTAGTCAGTCATATCAATGAGACAAAGAGCTCTCAGCCCAGCCTTAGAATAGCTTCCTTCAAACTAATCTCAACTCCTGATGACTTCATAGTCACTTCCAGTTATTGTAGATTTCTAGGCCACATTACAGGTTTATATTGTCCATTTTTGTCAGGCATATATAAAATATAAACAATCTGCCTTGATGTTCCATACGTATTCAGTTGTCCATATAGACTAGTTGGTAATGCAGCTGTTTCTTGTGTAGTCCCAACAAAACAACTCTGTATGAACATTTTATTGAACTCTGGTAGAAAAAGACACAATTTAAGTAAGTGTAAAGTAACCCACCCTTGTTAACAAATCCATTACTAGAGTCTAAAATAAATAACCATAGCCACAACACTTACCCATATGTCAAAATAGCAGTTAGCAATAGCAGTTAGACTTATATACCGCTTCATAGAGCTTTCAGCCCTCTCTCAGCGGTTTACAGAGTCAGCATATTGCCCCCAATAACAATCTGGGTCCTCATTTNAACAATCTGGGTCCTCATTTTACCCACCTCGGAAGGATGGAAGGCTGAGTCAACCCTGAGCCGGTGAGATTTGAACAGCCAAACTGCAGGACTGCAATCAGTTGAAGTAGCCTGCAGTGCTGCATTTAACCACTGCGCCACCTCGGCTCTTATAAAATGATTTATAAACGTTAAAAATTACTTGTCTCAGTACTGATCCTTGAAGTTCTCCACTATTTATTTCATTCATTGAGAAACACTTCATTTATTTGTTTTTTGAGCTTTTAAACGGCAGTCTGTAAAAAGACAGGTCCTCTTATTCCATGACTGCTAAGTTTACTCATGAGCCAATGAAGAAGAACGTTGTCGAAAACTTTTTGAAAATCCAAGCCTTTTCAGGGCCATTTTTGTTTACATTTCAGTTGATGGTCTCAAAAAAACTTGGTGAGGCAGGATTTACCTTTGTGGTATACATGCTGATTTTTCATTCAACAAGAATATTCCCTTTATGTGCCTTGTTACTTTTTATTATAAGTTCTATCTATTTAACTGGAACAGACAGTAAACTGATGGCTCTCTAATTTCCTATATCTCCTCAGTCCCTTTTTAAAATTGATGGCACATTAACTACATCCCACAATGATATTCCCTGGCACTGGGCCTGTTTTGCGTGCCAATTTATTTATTGCTAAGTCTGCATTTTCACATTTATATTCTTTAGGAATCCTAGAGTGAATGCTATTAGGACCAGGTGGTTTTTTAGAGTGCAGTTTCTCAAGATATCCCAGAGCAGCATTGTGCAAAGTGTGTTGTACGGAACCCTAGGGTTCTTTAAGAACTTGATGAGTGTTCATGACAAATTGATAGGGGGGTGGAGGGGTGTTAACTTGCATCATGATATTTGGTTTTTAACAGGCAGGTGATTTTGTTATAGGATCATATATTCAATCTCAAAGCATAGATAAGTGATATTTGCCTCAAGGAATAACTCAGTAATGGAAACAACTGTTTTCCAACTACCTTGTTATGGCATATTCTCCAAGCACATTCAAAGACACATCCATTCATATGCACACAATATAGCTATGAAAAGGAAAGAACAAGAGGTTGGGGGGGGAGAAAGGGACCAAGACCTTCTCTTCTACTGGCCATGTGGATAAACGAGAGTTGGGAGATTTTAAGACCTCCTTAGGGGCTCTTAAACATTTTCAATGTTTTCAACATTTCAACACCATATTTTATCTTTTATATCATTCACAAGTCATAGAATCTCTGCTGATTATTACTACAAGTGTCAAGTTTCAAACTATTGAAAGTGCAACTATTACCGTATTTTTGGAGTATAAGACGCACTGGAGTATAAGACGCACCTTAATTTTGGGGGAGGAAATCAGGGGGAAAAACCTTTCTGCCTCTTTCCCAGCAGCATCCATCAGTATTCATCTGGCTAATGTCTTTGCTATCTTGGTCGGAGCCTGATTCCAAAAGTGGCCCGGGGAACTGTGATAATTTTTGGGCTGTAGCGCCACGATCCCCTCTCCAATTCCAAAAAGGGCGTGTGCAGAAGCCAAAAAAGTGCATCGTGCTTCAGATGGCAGGCGGTTCCAGCACACGTTGCCACCTCAAAATGCTTTCCTTCCCAGTTCCCCGGTGCACATTGCAGAGCTGCGCGCCCTCCTCCTCTTCTGCAGACTCGCCTTCGCTTTCTCCTTGCCAGCACTGTCAGCGAGGGGAAGCAGGGAGAAAAGCGAGAGGGCATTGCAAGGATTGTAGGAATTATAAATATTTGCTAAAATGTATATGCTAAAAAAAAAAGAAACACTTATATTTTAAAGTTTAATACCTTAAATCTACTTATAGATACCCTGTTTCCCCGGAAATAAGACCTCCCTGGATAATAAGCCCAATCAGGCTTTTGAGTGCATGTGCTAAAATAAGCCCTCTCCCAAAAATAAGCCCTCCTTGAAAATATTGCAATCCAGCAGCATGAAGTGACCATGTTCGCCGCCTCCTACATCTTAAAAATAATAAGACCTCCCCGAAAAGAAGGCCAAATGCTTATTTCGGGTGTCAAAAGAAAAAAAGACCCTGTCTTATTTTCAGGGAAACATGGTATATATAATATATATATATATATTTGAAATTATTTTTATGGTATAGAAATATATAGGGTATATACATCTATAAGATGTATAGAGTTCCAAATCTATTTTTAAATGCACAGCTGTACAATAGTTAGTATATATACAAGACTTTATATAATTATATCTGATTTAATTAGTTTGCATGTACAAACCTCAAGAAAGTTAAAGAATCTCTTTTTTCCCCTTTGGTCTAACTGTTGCATCCGCTGCTCCACCTCTCTATGTCACTGGTGGGTTCCTACTGGTTCAGACTGGTTCAGCTGAACTGGTAGTAGCTTAGCGGCATGGGTCACTAGAACCAGCAACGACCCAGGCCTGCTGTGCTCCCAAACCAGTTCTCCTGGCAGCGCCATAGGTGCTGCCATCTTATTTTTGACTTCTGTGCATGCACAGAGCAATTTTTGTTACATTGTGCATGCACACACAGGGCGCATCAAGTGCATGTGTGGCATGTCCCTGAGTGAACCGGCAGTAGCGGCTGCCGGAACCTACCACTGCTTTATAGCCAAGATATTGCCTTCCCTCTATTTAGCACAGTCACTGTCACTTTTAGTTCACTTCCTTCACCAATTCTTGTTGTCACTGTCTTCTTCCCAAGAAGAAACTTCTTGTAGTTATTCTTTTCCCAATCTACCACCCACAATATCTTGTCACAGTCTCAGTGTGTAGTCCATCTGTCCATATATGCTTTATATTTTATATACATAAAGTATACTCACACACACACTTATTAGGTACACATATTATCATATACAAAATATATTTTGATTAATTATAAAGTACCTAGTTATTTACTGGGGACATAAAATATACACAAAGCACATGCATTTATCAAACAATTCAATTTTTGAAAAATCAGATAACCATAGTAATTATCCATAAAATTGAAAGAATCTCTCTACAATTTAATCAGCTGGAACTTTCATTCAGCCTTGATAGTTTCTTTCTTGATTAGACAAGAATTAAGGTGCTGATATACTTTGCCAACTAATTTAAGAGCCAATGCTTATCTGTCTGCTATCTACTCCCAACTCATCCTGTGGCTTACTAATCTTTTCCACTTATTCTCTCTGCAGCCTACAAATCCCAAGCGAGACTGGCTTGTGTTTCCATTTGGAGCAAATCCCTGGTGGATATACTTAGTGTCTTCAGTACCTGCCATTCTAGTTACCATCCTCATCTTCATGGATCAACAGATAACAGCTGTCATTCTCAATCGCAAGGAATATAAACTGCAGGTCAGTATTTGGTTGGGCTCTTTAATGTAGTTAGACTTTTTTGGGGGAGGGGGAAATCTCTCTTAAACACACAGATATTGAATCACAAACCAAGGAACACGAGAATAATTGTTGAGACTAAACTTGTGTTTCAAAGACAATTATGTAATATAAACAGGTTTTTAAAGCCAAGTAAGCTGATATGGTATGTTTTCATATAATCTTGACCCAGCTTTAAAGGATTTTATGGAGCATATTGAAAATGGTTTTAAAAGGGGCTGCATATTTCATTCATTCTGCCTTCCACACTTATTTATTTTTAAAAGAAGGAATAAATCTAGCATATTGCAGGTTGTTCATTTTGCTCTCTTTGTGTTATTTTGCACTATCATAGTTGCTGGTGTGAAGAAACCCATGCTCCCTTATTTGTAAAAGCAAATATTGGAAAAAAGGAAGAAGATAAAGCATTAGTTACCAAAGCAAGAAAGAGAAATAAATACTTTCTCAAATTTAGTAGACAACATATAACAATAGCACTTAGACTTATATATTGCTTCACAGTGCTTTACAGCCCTCTCTAAATTGTTTATAGTATCAGCATATTGCCACCAACAAACTGGGTCCTCATTTTACCAACCTTGGAAGGGTGGAAGGCTGAGTCAACCTTGAGCCTCATGCGTTTCGAACTGCCAAATTACAGGCAGCCAGCAGTCAGCAGAAGTAGCCTGCAGTACTGCTTTCTAACCACTATGCCACCAGGCCTCACATAGAATTTCTTAGTACCATATTTAACATTTTCTGTTTTATATTCCTAAGGAAATGGTACTGATGTACAAAATCTTACATAAAATTCTCTAATCCTAATTTCGCTCTAGTAGTGAAATTTTGGAAGAATAATCAATTATGCAAGTCACACAGCTTATAAAAATGTTATCGTTCCAATCAGTTAAAGGAATCATACTCTAAAATAGAAAACTTTTATCATGCATTATCCAGTCCACATCTCCTACTGCTAACTCCAATGTTCTCTTTCAGAAAGGGGCAGGATTTCATCTAGATTTCCTCTGTGTTTCCCTACTGATGATTGTTACATCGTTTATGGGTTTGCCCTGGTATGTGTCCGCCACAGTCATATCTCTGGCGCATATGGACAGCCTTAAGAAAGAAAGCACTACCAGTGCTCCAGGAGAACAGCCAAAGTTCCTCGGAATCAGGTATTGGAAGTAGATCAAACTTTTAAGGATTAAAAAATGGAGATGTTATTATCTGTCATTGATTTTCTTTCATCTACACTAGCCTTCTCCAACATGGAATATATACAAAAGTCAAAATCAATACTCCTGCAGGCTATGCTCACTTTGGGATTTGAAGTTTTAACACAACACATTTGGAGAACACCAAATTAGGGAAGACCATTTAAATAGTAGGAAATGATTGATTGGGTCCACCCCGTTTTGCTGGTTAACATAATGAACGCTTTGGGTGGGATTTTAGATGACTTACTTAGGAAGAGTGGGACTGATTTAGGATTTATGGGATTGGTAAATGGCTGAAATATGAAGGCCTAACTTAGAAATACTCTTCTTACAGGGAACAAAGAGTTACAGGATTGATGGTCTTTATTCTCACAGGATTGTCTGTGTTTCTTGCTCCTGTGCTCAAGGTGATTTTTTAAAAAGTATTCATATAAATATTTAACACATAGATATGTTATTTCATTTCCCACTGTTCATGTGACGTTTTGATTTTGCTGTCTGAAATACTTTGCAGACCAGCCAGATGTGTGATTGCGACTGTTTGATTTCTCTTTGAAGGACTGGTTCCACTGTATGCTGCATTGAGCAGAACCTTGTCCTTCAAGCATTGTGCTTTTGGGTGCCTCAATTTAAGAGACTCAGATAAACTGGAACAGCTACAGAGAAGGGCAATAAATTAGCAGGGACCTGGAAACACAATATTACAAACATTAACAGAAAATACTACACAGGCTCTACACTGGGGGGAAGGGGGGTTTGTAAATCATGTAGATTTCCTTAGATAAGCCGTGACATAGTGCAACATTTCTATTCCTCTCTGCTTTGAAAATTTAAGGGAAGGGTGACTGAATAGACCAGGGGTAGTCAACCTTTTTATACCTACCGCCCACTTTTGTATCTCTGTTAGTAGTAAAATTTTCTAACCGCCCACCGGTTCCACAGTAATGGTGATTTATAAAGTAGGGAAGTCAATTAAATTAAAAAAAAAAAGGAAAGTGCTTCAGTATCGGACAAAACCCCTACCGCCCACCATGAAAGCTGGAACGTTCACAAGTAGGCGGTAGGGACCAGGTTGACTGCCACTGCAATAGACCATTTTGATAGCCAAATTCTGACAGAGAAAGATGACCATAGGGAAGGGGGGAAAATCCCTGAAGAGATGCTATGTAAAAGAAGGCTGAAATGTTGTTGTTTAGTATCCCAGAGTGAAGGACTTGAATCAATTCATTGTAAGGCAAACATTGACAGTGATGTTTTACTGACCTTAAAGACAGTCTCTTGTGACTCATACTTTAATGTGATTAATTTTCTTTCTTCCACATCCCAAGTTTATCCCAATGCCTGTGCTGTATGGCATTTTCTTTTATATGGGTATATCTGCACTTAGCAGTATTCAGGTGAGTACAAAAACATTATAGAAATACATTCTGCCGGGTTGGGGAGGATGAAAGTTAATTCAATCAGCTGAGTATATAGTATTTTCTAAGACTGAATAGTCTGAATAATGTGGGAAGGCGCTGTCTATAATTAAGGTCTCCTGGATGTTTGTGTACTCCTTTTCAAGAAGTTGTGTGAGTTGTAGGGTTTTTGTTTACTTCTTTGTTTTGTGCCTTTGAATCAGTTTTGACTCCTGGCCACTGTCTGGACTAATCCCTGTAGTTTTCTTGGCAAGATTTTCAATAGTAGTTTGCCACTGCCTTTTTTTCTACGGCTGCGAGGGAGCGACTATCCCAAGGTCACCCAGATGGCTTCCTATCCAAGGCCAGATTAGAATCACGGTCTCTGCTTTCTAGCCTGCTGGCTTAACTCCCACAAAGAGGTCCAGAGTGCTAATAAAGCAGAAGAGAAATGCATGCAAGAGGTACTTTTAAAAACAAAGCTGGAGCTCAGAGCATTCCAGATGTGTAAGGAGAAGGGGGCAGGTCAGCCCTTGATTCACTTCCTATTCCAGATCTGTAATTTCAATTGTAAAATGCGGAGCAAGCCATGCTTAGCAAAGCAACCTTGAAATTTATTGGACATTCTCTTTTTACACCTTAAAGCTAATCTAAGTAACCCAATTCCAGGCAGAGATTGAATATTCATTCATTTATTTTCCTATGCCTCACTGAGTGGCTTATAAATATCCCCAAATGGTAATATCATTAAAACATAGCAATGTGTAATAAGTAATATTCTGACATAGTGACGAACCATGTAACCATTCACATCAAAAGAGTCTCAAAAGACCCCTCCAGTTCCCAGGATCCCCTTGAAATAACTTGGGCAGGGTCAATCTGATATCAGAGAGAGAAGTGGGCAACCACTGATTCCTACTGGGGAGTTTCCACAATATTTCTTGCTTTCATTTTTTCCAGTTCATGGAGAGACTTCAACTCTTGTTGATGCCTGCTAAACACCAGCCAGACTTCATTTATCTACGCCACGTTCCACTACGCCAAGTGCATCTTTACACCTTCATTCAGATCTTCTGCCTTGCTGTCCTGTGGCTCATTAAGTCAACTGCAGCTGCCATTATCTTCCCTTTAATGGTAAGAGTCCTTAGACATGAATGTCTTGTAGTATAGCCATATATTATGCAGAGAATGAGTGAATCTGCCCAAGAACTTTTCCTATGTACAGAAAAGCCTTTTACTGTCCATAGCATTCTATCTCCTATTTCAGACCTGTACAATCCTTAATTTACTCAAATGGAGAACAACTAATTCCACCTAGCCATACCCATTTATTGTCAGATATTTTCTGAATATGTATTAGATATACTGGTTTTTTTAAAAATATATATTAATATTTTACATCAATATTTTGAAATAAACATTCCATTGTTTTAAAACAGTGTTACTCAACCTTGGCAACTTGAAGAGATGTGGACTTCAACTCCCAGAATTCCCCAGCCATCCGTGTTGGCAGTGGAATTCTGGGAGTTG